TTCATGCGCGCATCTGGTTAACTCTTGCAAAACTTTTCCAGGTCAGGGATAAGTTCATCTGAAACGCAGTCCAGCTGAAAAACTTGTTGAATGAAGCTTGTAATCTTCCTTTTTCAATTTATTCTCATAGTTTGACACTCTTGAACGATACCAGCTTTTAATTCTTGGCAACTTGGTGGCTAGGGCAATGGGTGAGGGGGAGATTCGCGCTTGCTGCCGCCGGCTTTCGATCCACTCGCGTCTTTGCTGCGCTGCAAATGTCCAAACTTGTGTCGCTGATGATCCCACCAAAGCGGCCAGCAGCAGCAGCATTTCTTGTGGCAGCAGCGTTGCCAAAGAGCAGCTGAGCAGGAAAGATGCGTTTGAGCTGATTGAAAGCTTGTACCGGGATCATCCAGCGCCGGTTTGGCGGGTACGCACTGTCTCCTCTTAGTTTTGTTCTACGCGATGGATCATCATCTTCCAGGTAGAGAGTAGGAAAGCAATGGAGATACAGCAGCACAGTCCTAAAACTTCCAAGTGTCTCATCTATGGAGAAGTCAGTTTTTTCTTCCTTTTTTGTGTTCTTCCGCCACAGTGGTGTGTTGTTTCTTTTTTGCTTCGACGCTCTCAGGTAAGCTTTATAGCTTTTGCAAGGATGCTGGAGCTGTGTGTGCCTCTGGCTATGGGGGACTCCTCCAGGAAAGGCTTCGCGTTCTACGACTTGGGATGTGGTGCTGGCCGTCCTGTGTTTCTAGCTCCAATGTTGCGGCCGGACTGCGTGAAATCTTGTGGACTCGAGATCATCCCAAGTCTGTCTGCTTTTTCGCTGTATGCAAAAGTTCTTATGTGTTGTTTCGTTTCGTCAGGCATGCACGAGATGAATCAGGAGCTGCTTCTGCTGTACAAACTGGAGGTTCAAGAAGAAAAAAAAAAAAGTTTGTATGGACACTTATACTTCACTTGAGACTGTTTTGCAGGTTCTCCCTTATTTGCATCCTTCCAGACGCGATCAAGACATCAGTTTTGTTCGAGGAGACTTTCTCCAGGTGCTGTTTCATGTTTATTGTTTTTTTCTCAAGCGGATTAATGGCATTTCCATTTTCAGGAAGACTGGTCAGACGCCGACATTGTTTTTGCGAACGCAACATGTTTTGATGATCCATTATTCGAGCAGCTTGAGGTATGTTTATGTTTTGCTTTAGGAGGAGAAGGAAAGGAGAATTATTCTCTCCTAACTTTCTCCACCAGCAAAGAGCTACTCAGACACTGCGAAATGGCTCGGTTGTGATTTCCGTTACAAAGCGGTTTTCTGGTGGCTCCTGGGAACTTGTCCAACGGCAAGAGATGAAAATGAGCTGGGCGCCAGCGATCGTTCACGTCCAGAGGAAGAAGCAGCAAAATCCACACTCAGACAAACAAACAACAGACAATCACATCTCAGCGAAAAGTGATACAGGTTCTCCAGATAGAAACTACAAAGATCATGTCTCACAGACACTGATAACTTTCACAGATCACGAAGCGTTCGAGCAGCAACAATGACAAAATTTAGAGGTTGGTCATTCTTTCGGATAGGAAAAAACGCGATTTTGTGGGCGCTCACATGTTTCTCACGTCGGTGTTTGACTGCAGCGACAGTCACCACTGCTAGGATCGAATAAAAAGAGGGGAAAAAAAAAAGCCTGCGCCGTTTCCAGTGGAAGGTCGTTCGTATGCTGGAGAGCAAGCTGGATCTCGTTCGTTTTCCTCGACAACTTGGATCTCTCATGTGGCAGCGCATCAAAGCCACCCTTAAATTCACGCTTTGTAAGGTTCGTGGTTGGTGTTCTTCTGGTTCTGACTCTCTCTTTCTTTCGACTACAAAGAGTGGGATATGAGGAAGAACTTGGAACTTGTGTTCTGTGCATGGCTCAAAATCCGGCCTTTTCACATGCGCGCACGAGGTGTTTTTAGAACCGATCTCTCACTGGCAGAAACAGACGTCGACGCTCCTGGAAAATTCTCGCTCCGCGTTTCCTCTCCGGGGAGAAATCACTAAAAACTCGCCGACACAAGCAAGCAGAGATTTATCCTTTTCTTTGCTAAGTCAACTTCCAATCATCCGGGATCAAGTAGCTAAGAAGTAAGAACTTAGTGCGATCCGGAAGATATACAAATCACAGGCAAACAAAAGGAAAAACAATGAATTCTTCTCGAGGAACAGTCGCGACTTGAAAGGCAAAACTTGGTGGCATCAATCACAACGAGGAAAGAGAAAACGAGGGAGCATCCAAGGAGAAAGACGGACAGTCACCACTATCTACGTATACGCATACATTCAAACCGTGTTCCAGGGGGCGGTCAGCCGTAGTTATAAATCGGACACGGCTGGCTGCCAGCGAGCCAGCAGCAACAGAGAAAAAAAAATTCGAAAAAACAAGAGAAAAAGAATGAAAAAGTGGAGAAAAATCACCACCTTGAAACCAGAGTCATCCGCGTTTCCTCCATTACCAGGCAAGAACACTCATACTTTGGTCTTCTTCGTTTTTTCCTTTCACTACTTCGAATCTTCTCTTTAGCTCTTCTCTTCCATTTATAAACCCACTTCTCACGCCTTGTCTACGAAAGAGTGTTTTGTTCCTTGCGTCTCTCGGCCGGGTGTGGGTTGTCTCGATCCTTTCTCGCTGGTGATCCAGATGGGCTTGCTAGATTTGTAGCGGAGCAGCCAAAGTTTTCTTCTTCCATGATCCGGAAGTTTATTCGTCTATAGCATTGGTTTCTCAGCTCCAGCGATGGCCTCTCGCTAAGCCCGCTCCTTGCTCCTTTTTCTGCTTGAAACACAGCAGGAAAAGAGGGAGTTTTACTTCGCTTTCCATCTCGTGCTGGCTTGGACACCGATTCGGCAGCCTAGGAGCATGGAGCTCCGACCTGCATTGGCGGTTCTCGTGCTGCTTGTCCTCGCGAGCTGCGCCAGGGGCGAAGACCCATACCTCTACTTTGAGTGGAATGTCTCGTTTGTGGATCTGGCGCCTCTGGGAGCTCCTCAAAGAGTAAGAGCTCAAGCTTTAGCTATGTGGCCAAGTTTCTCATGGTTTTTTCTTCTTTCTTTTTTATTCTTTTGGTTTTGTAGGTGATTGCTATCAACAACCAGCTTCCAGGGCCTGAGATCGCCGTGACCACCAACAACAACCTCGAGATCAATGTTTTCAACAGCCTGGACGAGCCTCTTCTTTTCACCTGGTAAGAGATTTTCTCAAAGGGATGTTTGGACATGGTTTCATTCAAGTGTTTTTCTTCCAGGAATGCGGTGTGGATGAGGAGAAGTTCATGGCAAGACGGTGTGCTTGGAACAAATTGTCCAATCCCACCGGGAGCAAACTGGACTTACAAGTTTCAAGTGAAAGACCAGATTGGGAGTGGCTTCTACTATCCTTCGCTGCTCATGCAACGAGCTGCTGGAGGCTATGGTGGAATCCGGATTTACAACAGGGCAGTCATTGCGGTTCCATTTGCTCCACCAGCCGGAGACATCACAATGCTCATTGGAGATTGGTACAAGCAAAACCACACTGTAAGTCTCTCGTTGTTTCTTGCTTCTCTCTTCTTTAACTTGAGTTGCTCTTCGTTTTTCTCGCAGGCTTTGCGAGGAACTTTAGATGCTGGATTCATGATCGGTGCTCCGGACGGTGTGCTTATCAATGGCAGGGGTCCCTACGGATCATACTTTGTCGTAGAGCCAGGTATGTAGAACTAAGTTGGTGATAGCGATGTGAGAAGAAAAATCGATTTTTTCTTGCAGCAAACACTTACCGATTGAGGATATCAAACGTTGGAATCTCCACAACGCTCAACTTTAGAATCGAAGGCCACCGGATGCTCCTGGTGGAGACCGAGGGCTCCTACACCGTCCAGAACTTCTACGACTCGCTGGACGTTCACGTCGGCCAGTCTTACTCGGTGATCATCACCACCGATCAAGCACCGGGAGACTTCCACATTGTCGCGAGCAGTCGCTTTGGAGTTCCAGTTTTAACCGGACTGGCAACCCTCCACTACAGCAATTCTCCGTCAACTCTCGGTGGAACACTCCCCCCGGGGCCCGATCCAGGCGATGTTGGTTTCTCGTTCAATCAAGCTTGGTCCATCAGGTAGGAAAAAAAAGAGCTCTTTTCTTCTGTTCTCGAGGGTCGTTCTAAGTTCTTGTGACTCTTTTCCAGATGGAACTTGACAGCAGGAGCTGCCAGGCCAAATCCTCAAGGCTCCTTCCACTATGGAGTGATCAACGTGTCAAGAACTATCAAGCTCTTCAACACTGCTCCCATGATCAACGGCAAGCAGCGGTTTGCGGTGAACGACATCTCCTACTTTAATCCGGACACGCCTCTCAAGCTCGCCGATTACTACAAGATTCCAGGCGTTTTCTCTCTCAACTCCATCCCGGATTCCCCCTACTTCAGCACCCCGTTCCTGGGAACCTCGGTTCTCAACGTGGACTACCACAGCTTCATCGAGATCATCTTTCAGAACAATGAGGAGGTGATCCAGTCGTGGCATATTGACGGCTACCAGTTTTTCGTGGTCGGGTACGTACTTAGATGACGAAAAGCATGAAGAAAAAATGTGTTTTTACTTGGTATGTTTCATCCAGATTCGGACCCGGAGCTTGGAACGATACCAGCAGGCTAACTTACAATCTCTACGATGCTGTTGCTCGATCCACGACCCAGGTACGTGTGCTTGGATCCTTCAGAGGTTCGTTTCTTCGTGCTCAAATCAGGAAAACTTTGCAGGTCTATCCAATGTCCTGGACTGCAATCTTCATGTCCCTGGACAACGTCGGAATGTGGGAGATTCGCTCGCAAAACCCCGCGCGGCAATACTTGGGCCAGGATCTCTACATGCGAGTTTACAACCCGGAGGAGGCTAGGAGCACGGAGACGCCAATTCCCAGCAACGTTCTTCGCTGCGGCAAAGCCGTGGGTCTAAACTAGAAACAACCAACGACGCTCTCGATTTCTTCTGGAGGTGAAGAAAAGAGATTTTTTTTTTCATTCTTTTATATCGGAAACATGAATCTATCGCTCTGTGAGTTACAACTGAATAATTCAAGAGGGACCATGGATTCCTCGAGGGGAAATAGTCGTTCTTTTGGGTGGCTAGAACTTTAGAGAGAGTGAGAGAGGCGCACAGGTTGCTCTAGTCGTCGCGCCTCCAAAGTCGGGCATGGTAGTGTGGCTGTAACAAGCATCGTCGAGCTTTTCAGTCGCTCCTCCGGATCCACTCAAGAGAGCGCTGGTGTTCTTGTGGGTGATGAGAACTCCACTGTTGCTGCTGCTACCGCTGCCGTGATCTTGCGGATTGCTGCCAATGAATCCATCGAACTGGTGGTACTGGATCTCAAATTGTTGCTGTTGCTGCTGGTATAGTTGCCTCAAACTCTCGGCCTCTTTTCGAAGAGCTTCGTTGTGAGCTGCCAAAAGATCAATCGTAGAGATTATCGAAAAAAAAACAAGTGTTTTCTTGTAAACATACCGTCCTTGAGACGCACATTTTGCGCCAATGCAGCTATCCTCTGCTTCATGACACCGTTGTCGACGTTCAAAAGAACTCTTTGGTGGTCCAAAAATGAGACCTGAGGTGTGAGTGTTGACACTTCCATCTTTTTCAAACGAAAATAGATGGTCAAGGGGTGTTGTATAAATTGATTGGCAATCTTACCTGTAAGGAACTTACGTTCTTCTCCAATTCTGCTATGTATTGTAGCTTTCTTATCCGTGACCTCTGAGCAGATTGCCTGTTTGCAATGATCCTATATTTGTTCACAAAGTTATGAAACATAAGATCTTCACAAAAGAGAGAAAACAAAGCCTATGAAACAGAGAGAGAGCGAGAGAGGGAGAGGAAAGCATACCTTCTAGCTCTTTTCGGATCCAAGCTGGGATCGAGAGATATATCATCGTCTAGAACTTGATTGGCGACAACAACACAATCACCATCCTGGCCATCGGAGATTGTTGGCGATGTATTCTTCGGGGAGATATCAATTTTGTTCATAGAACCCTCAAGAAGAACATCTGAGAGCTGTTCTGGATTCTTGACAAGCTGCTCCTCTTTCTCATCTCTCTCATCTGTTTGTGCAATTGCTGGAGGAGGGCTGGCGTTATCGATAAAAGCAGTGTCACTCACAGATCTCCTGTGTTTGATTGAGGAAGTCGTAGCACTGCTGTTGGAATACTCGTTCATCAACCAGCCTGTGTTTCATGAATTATGGAGAGCGAATTAAGACCCAAATCACTTGCAAGTGCCTACCAGTTGAGTGGATTTTGTTGCTCCCGAAATTGGGCAATCCAAATCCAAGAGGCCATCCAAATTCTTCCATTCGATCGAGAGTGATTGATCAACAACAAACAAAAAAGCGGTTTTAAGTAGAAAAGAGCCTTTTTTTCTTTAATCTCTTGAAAAAAAAAGAGAAAGAAAATGTAACAAGAAGATGGCGAGCACGCTTGCACGTTTGGCTAAAAATGGCATCCACGATGACATCCATTAGTTTACTGCCTAAATTTGATATTTCTCAAAATTATCTGCTAAATCCGATTAGGGTTACTCTAGGGCTTTGGGTGAAAGAGGCAATGGCGCTAGTGAGGGCGGAGGTGGTCCTCAAGAAGCCCGTCACATTCGTCACAGGCAATGCCAAGAAGCTGGAGGAAGTGAAGATGATCCTGGGAAATTCTATCCCCTTCTCGACGCTGCGCGTTGATTGTAAGCTTCGCATCTAGCGGCATTGAGTAGTTTCGTTCTAAATTTTGGCTTTCCTCCAGTGCCGGAGCTTCAGGGAGAGCCCGAGGAGATCTCCAAAGAAAAGGCGCGCATTGCCGCCAAACAGGTACCACGAATCCAAGAAGAATGTAGATAGAGAAGTTTTGGTTTTTGTTCTTGCGAAGATTGATGGAGCTGTGCTCGTGGAGGACACATGCCTGTGTTTCAATGCTCTACATGGCCTTCCAGGTTTTGAGTTCTTGGAAGCTCTTGCAGGAACTAATTCTCTTCGAATTTTTCCATTCAGGGCCTTATGTGTAAGCATTGGAAAACGCCTCATTGGTTTCGGAAAATGGATGCTTTTGTGCTTGCAGGAAGTGGTTTCTTCAAAAGCTTGGCCACGAAGGTTAGCTTTCTATGATACGATAGTTTTCATTCGTTTTCTTTTTCTAGTATCTAATGTGGTGTGATGCTTCAGGCCTCAATAACATGCTGGCAGCGTACAAAGATAAATCCGCTTATGCATTGTGCGTCTTCTCACTAGCTCTCGGGCCTGGCTTTGAGCCTACAACATTTGTTGGACGCACTGAGGTAGAATTTTCTTGGAAAAAGAGTTTTTTTTTTCTTTCCAAGTTTCTAAGAGAAGGGCGATTCACAGGGAAAGATCGTTCCAGCGAGAGGGCCGGCAGATTTCGGCTGGGATCCGGTGTTCCAGCCAGATGGAAGCGATTTTACGTGAGTGTTTTGCTCCATCATTCGCCTTCTTACATCTAGTGTTTCTCTGAGCCACAGCTACGCAGAAATGCCCAAGGACGAGAAGAATAAGATCTCTCACAGGCGCCGCGCACTGGACAAAGTCCGAGATCATTTCCGGGAGTACGATTTCGTTGTGAGGAACGATGATTCACAAGTGTAGCGACAAAAAAATCATCTTTTCCTTTTCCTAAGAGCTTCTAGCAGAACTGGCCAGCCACGAGAAAGATCTACGTAAACAATGTAAGCTTTTGATATATCTCTATGCTCGAAAGCTACATTGTTCTTCCTTTGCTAGATCCTGAAGCGACATTGTTTTCTCTTACATTGTTTTTCCTTTGCTAGATCTCGAAGCTACCTTGTTTTTTCCCTTTTTGCTAGATCTTCGATTGGCTTGACGCTGTTCTTCTCAGCCAACTGAGCTAGCTTTGCAACCGTGACCGTGATAACCCCATTGTCGACCTTTGCCGAGCTGGAAAACTCCAGTGAGCTCGGTGACACTTACCGGTCTTTCGACTCTCCTCTCTCTAGCGCTCGCCACTAATCTGGAGCACCCGAGCTGGATCTTCACGTCGCTCCTGTCGGATCGGCCTCGAGGACGTGTGCGTCATCAATCGACGCGTGTTGACCACAATCCGCTTCTCCAATGGATCGAAGGTGTAAAAGTAGAGTAAAGTGGCCCTCCAAATTCCAGCTAATGATCGGTGAATGTTGTCTCCACGTTAGCAAGTTCAAAGCGCGCGAGGCACTCGCGGGAGCAGCCCATGTGTCGTAATCCACCGCGGCTGTCGCTGATCTGACTTAGTCTACCATACGTAAAATCGGTTCACGTTTTTCTCGGTGTCGAGATCGCCCGAGTTCTGTGCCATGGCCGTGTCTCGCGACGAAGATGCGCTGGAGCAGCCGCTGCTGCAGGACGATCCAGCAAAGCTGGAGGGGGAGCTGGAGGGGGAGCTGCGGAGCTGCAACCACGATCCGGATTGCCCCGGATGCAAAGTTGCCTACCTCAAACACCCCAAGGCCAGCGCTCCACTCCGGCTGCTCCTCGGCCTCGGCTTCGTCATGCTTTGCACCTGTAAGCTCCCCTCCCCGCTGGAAGATCAAGATCACTACTAGCTAGTACTTCGGTTATGAGAAGTTTGATTCCATCCTTCCTTGATTCGCAGGTCTGCCAATCTCGGTGGTGTATCCCTTCCTCTATTTCATGGTATGAAAGCCGGGATCCCATGGATCACAGCGATTGATTTGTTTCTTGGCAACTTGGATGATGATCCAGGTGAAAGACTTCCACGTTGCGAGGGTGGACGCAGACATTGGATTCTACGCGGGATGGATTGGTGAGGATGAAACTCTGGATAAGTTTCGATAAGTTTATATGCATGCTGAGAGATGCATCCACTCGTAGGATCCTCATTCATGATCGGGAGGGCGTCAACAGGGATCCTGTGGGGCAGCATTGCCGACAGATACGGTAGGAAGCCGACAATGTTCGCGGGTGTCGCCTCTGTGTACGTAGCACGACATTTTTGAATTTGGTTCCTTGAGATTTCTGCATTTCTTTAGTTGATGGCTAAAGTTTTTGGAAACAAATGTGTGCAGGGTTGTGTGGAACACGCTGTTTGGGCTGAGCACCAATTTCTGGATGGCCGTCACCACGCGCTTCCTGCTCGGCTGCTTCAATGGGATGCTGGGCGTCGTCCAGGCCTACGCATCGGAGCTCTGCAACGAAGAACAGCAGCCGCTCGGACTCTCTGTGGTAAGAAATCATCCCTTCAGTCATTTTGCAACAAGAAAAATTTGATCGATGTGTCGTTGGTCGTCAGGTAGGGACCGCTTGGGGATTTGGACTCATCGTCGGCCCCGCTTTGGGTGGATTCTTGGCTCAAGTAATATCAAACCGAAAACTTTGCTCAAGAATGCCGCTTGTAACGCATCGTTTTGGTTGTGATGTTTTCAGCCAGCTCTCAAGTACCCAGACGTGTTCACGAGCGGGTCACTGTTTGACCGGTAAGGTATTTTCATGAATTCGCGTTTGTTCTCACACTTTAGTTATTCTATCAATTTTCTTTCTCTCCAAGGTTTCCATACTTATTGCAAGCCCTTTGCATTTCCTCCATCGCTGTTCTTGGTTTATTTGTTGTCTGCCTCTTACCGGTAAGTGTGGATGAAAGAAGAAATAAAACCAAGTATCGTGGTTTCAGGAAACATTGCACAGGAAGAGCTCCGTGCCAAAGGTTAAAGACTTGGAGAAATTGAATCCAGGCGATTCGAAAGACGAGAAAGTGGAGTCCATCTTCAGGAACCGGCCTTTGATGGCTGCTATGACGCTATACTGTCTCTGGTCGCTCCATGATATGGCCTACGACGAGGTAAGAATGAAAGGAAAACTATGCGCGCCTATCTTGGTTGTTGCAGTTGTTCGCTCTGTGGGCCGTGAGCCCAAAGTCTTACGGGGGTCTCGGTTTCACGAGTTCTCAAGTTGGATCAGTTTTAGCAGTTGCAGGTTCGAAATTACTCTTTCTTTCTCCAAACTAAATTGGTGGAACTTTTGTTGTAGGTTGTGCAATACTTGGATCTCAACTTGGAATTTTTCCAACAATTTGTAGACTTCTTGGGCCGATCCGGGCCTGTCGGTATGGAGCCGTAAGTTCCAACATGTAGTTTCAAGACGTTTTTCCTTAGCGTAACACTCATTCCTTTGTTTGTTTTGAGCAGCTCATCACAATTCCCCTTCTGGTAGCATATCCATACTTTGGCAGGATTCAAGGATCTTGGCTTTCTGTAACGGTCTATGCTGCCTCGGTTGTCAAATGCATTGTCACGGTATTCTTGTCATTCTCTTTGCTTTCCAGTTTTCACACCGTAAATCTCTTCCAGACCGCAGTAATGACGGGATCGTTCATACTCATCAACAATTGCGTGGTACGTTAGAGTTTTTCTCTCTGAAGAGAAAAGCTGCCTCTCTTTTTTTGTTTTTTTTGCTTGACTCTCATCATGTTCTCCAACAGAAGCAACGCCAGAGAGGAGCCGCGAATGGTTTCTCGCTCAGCATTGTATCCGTGTTCAAAGGACTGGGCCCAGCGATTGGAGGAATAGTGTAAGTTCTTGGAGAGGAAAAAACTTCGCTAGAAAACACTGACTTCGATTCGTTTTCAGCTTTTCTTATGCTCAAAAGAGACAACACTCATGGTTCTTCCCGGGTAATGTTCCAAAATCATTTTTTTCTTCTTCTCACTTTATTCTGACTGTTTCCAGGCGATCACTTGGTGTTCCTCTTTCTCAACGTGTTTGCGCTGCTCACGGTTCTCACATCTTTCGAGCCATTCCTCCCAAAATCGGCCAACCGGCTAATCGTTGACGACTGATAGGAGGCCTTCTATTAATTTTTTAACCCTGAAGGGTGAAAATAATAAATCGTGATTAGGGTTTTGCGTCCTTTGGAATTCGAATTTTTCCATTCAGGGCCTTGCGTGTAAGCATTGGAAAAAGCTTCAGTGGTCACGGAAAATGGATTCTCGTGTGCTTGCAGGAAAAAGCTTGGTTAGCTTTTTACGATTTCTAGCTTGCTACGATAGTTTTCATTTTCTCTGGAATTTAATGTGTGATGCTCCAGGCCTCAAAAACATGCTGGCAGCATATAAAGATAAATCCTCTTATGCGTTGTGCGTCTTCTCGATAGCTCTCCGAGCCTAGAACATTTGCTAGACGCATTGAGGTCGATTTCTTTTGGAAAAAAAATGTTATTTTAACTCCCGAGTCTAAAGAGTAAGGGCAAGATCGTTGGCAGCAGATTTCGGCTGTTCCAGCCAGATGGAAGCGATTTAATGTGAGTGTTTTCCTCCATTCACATATAGTTTTTCAATGCTACGCAGAAATGCCTAAGGACGAGAAGAGCACTGGCGGAGAGATCATTTCCTGGAGTACGATTTCGTTGTGAGAAACGATGATTGACAAGTGTAGCGGAAAAAATCGTCTTTTTCCTTTTTTCTAACTGTTTCTAGCAAACCTGACCACCCACGAGGAGGATATATACATAAACAATGTAAGCATTTGATATTTTTCGCTATGCTCGAAAGTCACATTGTTCTTCCTTTGGTAGATCTTGAAGTTTCTACTACATTTGCTAGATCTTTACTGGACGTCGATCGGCTTCACGTTGTTGTTCTTCTCGGCCGCGCAAGCCAGCTTTGGAACCGTGACCGTGAGAACTCCATGGTCGACCTTGGCCGAGATGGCGTCCACGTTAGAATCGTCCGGGAGCCAGAACCGCCGGAGGAAACTCCCGTGAGCTCGCTCCACCCGGTGCCAATTATCGGTCTTCCGACTCTCCTCCCTCTTGCGCTCGCCGCTAATCTGGAGCACCCGGTCCTCCTCGAGCTGGATCTTCACCTCGCTCCTGTCGAGCCCGGGGAGATCGGCCTTGAGGACGTGCGCGTGGGGCGTCTCGCACCAATCGATGCGCGTGTTGGCCACGGCGCTCACGTCCCGCGCGAACTGGCGCGAGTGACCGTCGGCGTCGCGGTCCCAGAACGAGAGCGCCGCATCCCACATCCGCTTCTCCGGCGAGAGGAACGGATCGAAGACGCCCAGTTGCCTGTCCAGGAATGGAGACAGTGCCATTGCTTGATCGAATGGATGATCGAAGTTGGATTGAAGAAGAGTAGATTGCTTGCTTGCGATGATGCGATATGCCCATCGCTCGTAGAATTTAAATCCCAGAGCCGCGAATTCCAGAAGATTCTTCGCAGGTTCTAGAACGTTCCATGGACATTCCTCGAATATTTATGCCACGTCAGCCCTAGGGAGGTGAAGCTCGCAATAAATAGCACCCAACAGATGTTCCGATTGTCTTGGAGCGAGCCTCTGGAGCGATGAATAGCTCAGCGGCTATACCGGTTGGATCATCAGCGGGAGATCGACCATGATCTATACAAAGCGCCAAACATGTCTTACTCCAAGGACCAACACGCCGGATCTTTAGCAGCCCATGTGTAGAGCCTAACCCATCGCCACTTTCGAGTTAGTCTACCATACGTAAGGTCCTCCTGGCAAACTCGTATAGAAGTATATATGAGGCCCTCTATGTTCCACTCCCATTGCACGAGAGATCTCGCACTCTGGTCGATCACAATTTGGAGGTTCGAGCGACATTAATTGCATTGGAAGTTTGGTCGGTCTCGACCTCGAGTCGAGTGAATTGGGTGATAGAAAGATCGCATTGTTTGCCATGGCCGTGGGTCGCGACGCGCTCCACTCGAATGATCAAGATGCGCTGGACCAGCCGCTGCTACTGGATCCGGCGAAACTGGAGGCCGAGATCCGGAGCTGCAACCACGATCCGGATTGCCCCGGATGCAGAGTAGCCTACCTCAAACATCCCAAAGCCAGCGCTCCCCTGGGGCTGCTCCTCGGCCTCGCTTTTGTCCTGCTTTGCACCTGTAAGCTCCGAGATCAAGATCACTACGCGCTAGCTAGTGCTTTCGTCATAAGAAGTTTGATTCTATTCTTTTTTATCAGCTCTGCCAATCTCGGTGGTCTATCCCTTCGTCTATTTCATGGTACGGGGCGGGATCTCATGGATCGCAGCGATTGATTTGTTTTCTTGGCAATTTTGATTTCGATTCCCAGGTGAAAGACTTCCACATTGCGAGGGTGGACACAGACATTGGATTCTACGCGGGATGGATTGGTGAGGATGAAACTCTGGAGCTTTGATATGTTGTGCTGATCAAGGGATCCACTCTTAGGATCCTCTTTCATGATCGGGAGGGCGTCAACCGGGATGCTGTGGGGCAGCATTGCCGACAGATTCGGTCGGAAGCCGACCATGTTCGCGGGCGTCGCCTCGGTGTAAGTGGTTGATGCATTCCACATTTCGTTCGATCTTCTTTGCGTCGAAAAACTTTAGTTCTTGAGGAGTTCTTCGCTGGTTCATGGCTGAAGTTCATTGTCAAATGTGTGCAGGGTTGTGTTGAACACGCTGTTTGGGCTGAGCACCAATTTCTGGATGGCAGTCACCACGCGCTTCATCCTCGGCTGCTTCAATGGGATGCTGGGCGTCGTCCAGGCCTACGCATCGGAGCTCTGCAACGAAGAACAGCAGCCGCTCGGACTCTCTGTGGTAAATCATTCTCGCGACAAGAAAAATTCGATTGGTGTCTCGTTGCTCGTCAGGTAGGGACCGCCTGGGGATTGGGACTCATCGTCGGCCCTGCCGTGGGTGGCTACTTGGCTCAAGTAAGATCAAACAAGAAAGTTCGCTCAAGAATGTAACGCATCGTTTGGTGGTGTGCTGCTCAGCCAGCTCTCAAGTTCCCAAGCGTCTTTGCGAGCGGGTCACTATTTGATCGGTAAGGCACTGAAATCTCGCGGTGTTCTCACTGACACTTTCGTTGTTCTATCTTTTCAACTTTCTCTCTGGAAGGTTTCCATACTTGTTACAGGCCCTTTGCATTTCCTCCATCGCTGTTTTTGGTCTATTCGTCGTCTGCCTCCTACCAGTAAGGCTGGCTGTATGGACGAAATAGAAACTAATTATCGTGGTTTCTATTGTTCAGGAAACTCTGCACAGGAAAAGCTCCGTGCCAAAGGTGGAAGACTTGGAGAAGTCGAATCCACTCGATTCGAAAGAGGACAAAGTGGAGTCCATTTTCAGGAACTGGCCTTTGATGGCTGCTACGACGCTATACTGTCTTTGGTCGCTACATGATATGGCTTACAGCGAGGTAAGAAGAAAAAGCAAGAAAAGCTGTGAATCTATCTCTGTTCTTGCAGTTGTTTTCGTTGTGGTCCGTGAGCCCAAAGTCGTACGGGGGTCTCGGTTTCACGAGTTCTCAAGTTGGATCAGTTTTAGCGGTTGCAGGTTCCAATGTTCTCTTTATTCTTCAAACAAAAATGTTGGAACTTCTGCTGCAGGCTGTGCAATGCTTGGAGCTCAACTTGGAGTTTTTCCTACAGTTTGTAGAATGGTTGGACCGATCCGGGCTTGTCGGTTTGGAGCCGTAAGCTACAACAAATTTTTGTTTCTTCTCAAGCGTAACATTCCTTTTGTTTTGTTTTGAGCAGCTCATCACAATTCCTCTTCTGGTAGCATATCCATACTTTGGCAGGATTCAAGGACCTTGGCTTTCAGTAACGGTCTATGCTGCCGCGATTCTCAAATACATTCTCACGGTAACCTTGTCTTTCTCTTTGCTTTCCAGTTTTCACACTCGTAAATCTCTTCCAGACCGCAGTATTGACGGGATCGTTCATCCTCATCAACAATTGCGTGGTACGTTAGAGTTTTTCTCTCTGAAGAGAAAAAGCTGCCTCTCTCTCTCTTTTTTTTTTGCTTGACTCTCATCCTGTTCTCCAACAGAAGCAACGCCAGAGAGGAGCCGCGAATGGTTTCTCGCTCAGCATTGTATCCGTGTTCAAAGGACTGGGCCCAGCGATTGGAGGAATAGTGTAAGTTCTTCGAGAGGAAAAGAAATCGCGAGGAAACACTGACTTCGATTCCTTTTCAGCTTTTCTTGTGCTCAAAAGAGACAACACTCATGGTTCTTCCCAGGTAATGTTCCAAAATCCTTTTTTTTTTTTCCCTTCTTCTTGTTCTTACTTTATTCTGATTGTTTCCAGGCGATCACTTGGTGTTCCTCTTTCTCAACGTGTTTGCGCTGCTCACGGTTCTCACATCTTTCGAGCCATTCCTCCCAAAATCGGCCAACCGGCTAATTGCTGACGACTGATAGAAGATAAGACCAAAGATTCTTTGCGAGATCGAAACGAGATCTATGTTGTAAAATTTGTTCTTTGCGAGTGTGTAAGTTTTTCGCGAGAGTAAAGAATATTTTAGAGGACCGAGAACATTCTTTCCAGACTGTCCATGTCATACCGCAGTGAGTGCTGAGTAAGCACTGCCACATCGGCAGCTGAGTAGTGAGTCAGCAGGAGAGCGTGGGAGGAGGAATCTAGGGCAAAGCAGGGGAAGTGACGAGCACGACGGCGATCTCCGCGTGGCGCGTAGCTGGCTCGCCTCGAAGGGATCGGCGGGGCGTGGCTGCTCTCGAGATTCGTCGAGCGCCCGGCAAAGATCACTCATAGATGATTCGTTGGCGACAGACGACGAGCTTTGGGATGTGAGACAATGAGCTAGCGAGCGACCTCGCGATTTCCGCGGCCTCGGCTCCAGCGATCAATCATCTCATGTCATAGGCCGCCCCAGGAGGTAGGGATCGATCTCGCTCCTTTCGCTCTCCTCCGCGCGAGCTAGTTTTCGAGCGATCAGGGCTTGGGTATGGAGGAGAGCGTGATCAAGGAAGAATGTGGGGTCGCCACCGAGAAGGCAAAGGGCGTAGTGGAGGAGGAGAAGAGGGAAGTCATTGAAGAGGACAGGCACAGTCGCGAGGAGGAAAAAGAAGAGGGGGGATTTGACAAGTCCACGCGGAAGGAGAGCAGTCCCGCGGTTTCACTCAAGCCCGACTTGAACGAGATCGATCGCGAGGAGGAGGAAAGGGGCGAGGAAGAGAAGAAAGAAGAAGCTGACCAAGATGTGGTGGTGCTCTCCAAGAGCTCCGGCAGTCCCGAGAAGCTAGAAGCGAAGGACAAGGCGATGGCTACTCCAGCGAAGGATGATTTGCTGCTCACGCTCGGTGGGAGCTGGGGCGCTGGCGAAAGTAAGAAGCTCTTCCCGCCGGAGACGACGATCAAGGCCAGGAAACCGTCTTCTTCGCTGGGAGGAGGCGGTGGTGGTGGTGGTGGTGGCGGAGAGATATCTCTGTCACTGGGATCTTCCGGGTGTAACGCCCCCTCGGCTTCACTGGTGAGTGGGAAGGTGATGAGCGTTCGCTCCATCTCGAACACCACCACCGTCAACACTAGATCCTTCGTCCACAATCCCAGCTGCTCGCTCACGCACAACTCGCTGGATGATCTCAACTCCAGCGCGACGCAGTACGTTGCTGGGCACGAGAACGAGACGGTGTCTCACGGTGGTCTCTTCGGTCCTCAGGGGATCATCCAGAGAAGTAGGAATCCTTTTCCGGACAGTGGAGCTCTCGCTGCTGCTGCTGCTGCTCACAAGAACAACGTGGCCACCACCACCACCAACAACAACAATGGCACCACCACCACCACCACCATCACCAGGAGCAGCAACAGTGCCGGTTTCCAGCACCAGCACCAAGTTCCACCACCCGTCAAGTGGAACTCTTACAACTTGGAGCCGTATCACGCCTTGTTCCCAGATCTCAAGGAGGGCTTTCGAAAGCACGCTGGGACGCGACGGGGCAAGCACAAGGCGGCCGAGGAGAGGTCCCTCCAAGGAGAGAACCGTGTGGGGCTGTACGAGGTGGCGGCGGATCCCGTAGCGGTGGTGGCCAACAAGCTCCAGGAGCTCCCGGATATCTTCCTCGAGGACTTGAAGAAGTCGCTCACGGAGATGCTCGGCAGCGTGGAGAAGCGGGACGAGTTCCTGCGGCTGCAAAGGATCCTCCAGCGGCGGAACGACCTCTCGGCCGAGAACCTCTACGTTGCCCACCGCACGCAGCTGGAGCTCCTGGTGGCGATGAAAACGGGCATCCAGGCTTTTCTTCTCTGCGAGAACCGGATGTCTACCGCGGCTCTCGTGGAGGTTTTCCTCCAGAAGCGGTGCCGCAACTTCGCGTGCCAGAACCAGCTCCCTACCGACGACTGCGACTGCCAGTTTTGCTCACAAAAGGAGGGATTTTGCAGCGGGTGTATGTGCATCGCCTGCTCCAAGTTCGACTTCATGGCCAACACTTGCCGCTGGGTTGGCTGCGACTTTTGCCTCCACTGGTGCCACACCGACTGTGGGATCCGACTGTCGTATATCAAGCCCGGGACTGCTCAAGGTGGAAAGCAGTCGGAGATGCAGTTCGTGTGCGTGGCTTGCGGCCATGCCTCGGACTTGTTTGGCTTCGTCCGGGAGGTGTTTACGACGTACGCCAAGGATTGGAGCGCCGAGACTCTGCGGCAGGAGCTCGACTGTATCCAGAGGATATTTCGGCGCAGCCAGGACTCTAGAGGGAAACAGCTGTGCTGGATTGCCGAGAAAATGCTGGGCAAGGTGGAGGGATGCGGTGACACTTCCGAGTTATGCGAGGCGATCGTCCGGTTCTTCCAAGGTAAAAATCTTGTTTTTCCTAATTTTCGTTAACGAAAACGCTGTGCTGCAGAGGGGAAGATCGATTTGGAGACTGCCAAAGTGCAGCATCAGCAGCAGCATCAGCAGCAGCAACAGCAGCAGCAGCATGGAGGTGGAGAAGTTCCTGCGGGTGCGGTTGCAGTTCGAAGCGGCAGCTACGCGAATGCTGCGGAGGAAATGGTGGCGAAGAGCAAGAGTGGTTCTGGGAACGGTAACTTGCAGATTCTCGACCGGGAGCTCGAGGCCAAGAGGAACGAGATTGCCGAGATGCAGTACAGCCGGGCGAGGAAGCGGAGCGAGATCGAGGAGATGGAGAGCGCCATCCACATAAAGCAGGCCGAAGCCAAGATGTTCCAGCTGCGAGCCGACGAGGCCCGGCTCGAGGCGGAGAGGCTGAGAAAGATCGTGCTGGCCAAGAGCGAGAAGATGGAGGAGGAGTACGTCGCCAAGGGGTACAAGCTCCACGTTAACAACGCGGTGGAGAAGAGGAAGCGGTGCTTTGTGGAGTACCAGATGCTGGAGAAGGGGCTCCAGGACTTCAACTCGATGAAGAGCAAGCTGGTGACGGACGTGCACGACGTGCTCATGAAGATGGACGTGATGAAACGCAACAAGATGCTGTGAGTGGGGATCGAGCTTTTCCGATAAGAGAGAAAGAAGAAAGATCGCAAGAGCTCTCTGGAGGAAAGAACACACACAGGAAGAAGCGGAAACTTCGTCACAACTGGTAAATCTTAGCTCATTTTTGTTGAACTTCCAAAAGCTTGCTAGATCAAGTTTGGGTGTGGACGTTCTTAGAGAGCTCCGAGAAGAAGGTCCTTGTTAAATGGCCGGACTCCTCTGTGACTAAGAACCCAGCGCTTGCTTGTGAAAAGAATCGAAGATCCCTATGGATTGTTTGATCAAGGAGCATCCCCGCGAAGAACTCGATCCACGGTCCGCGGCCGCGGTTATCGACGCGATCGAAGGCCCCGCAAGCTAGATCGAAGGCGTCGCACCGCTAGTACGTGCTGACCAGCGGGAATTCGATGTGGAATCGGGGGCGAGAGATCGAGATCAGGAGGCGTGTTCTTTGGGATCGCTGGAAGAGGGCAAGGCGACTGGTAGCGAGATTCCCAGCGATCGCGAGCGATGTGATGCGCTCTTGCTGGGTCCTCGCGCGTAATGCCAGCGATCTAAAAGCGCTCGCTTCTGGATGGAATCCCTCCACAGTCTCGCATTTGGCCCGTCAGGGCATTTGCTGGGATAGACTGCGAGAGGGCATTCGATCAAAGATCTCTTTGGCCTCGGCGGCTGACGAGTCGCGCGATCTGGCTGATCGAGAAGACCATGGGATGGGATGATTTCTGGACGAGAGAGTGGAGCTTCTTGGTTGAGTTTGGCTCTGGCAAAAGCTTAAGAGATTCTAGGCTGGGTTGGAGCCTGCTTTGTTCTAGAGCGCTTGCAAGCTTATCACTGTGACTACCAGTGACAAGAACGATGGCGATCTTTTAGAAAAACTATCCTGGAAGAACTAGAGGCGTGAAAGACCATCACATTGTCAAAAAAAAAGCCCAGAACCGGGATGAAAGCGAAGTACCAGCAACAACCACCACCGTGGCGAGAAAACTCAATAGGAGCTCGTTTGGTTCTTAGTTGTGAACACCATTTCATCAACAGAGAAGCTTTTCTTCTGCAAAAAAACAAGATCAAAATCAGAAAGTGAGAAGAAAAATTCTTCTTTCCTACCTGTTTGCAGCAGCCGCCCTGGCAATCCGAGTACTTGCTCGGACAACACATGTACTGCAAGCACTTGGATCCGATAGCCGGTTCTATGCAGCAGCAAGTCATTCCCGAGGGACAACTCTGGCTGCCACCGCAAGGAGGTGGCTTGCTCCCTGGAGCTGCTCCAGTCGGATAGGATGGGAACGCATTGATGTTGAGAATACCATATGGTTCTCCTCCCTGTCTCTTGATACGGATGTATCCGCCTTCGCCCCAGCCATAGCCCCACGAGTTTTTCGCGATCCAGTAGGGAACACCGTTGAGAGTATCATATCCAACAACGAGGAGTGATGTAGTGGTGACCGCGTCCGCGAAAGGTCCAGTGTAGATTCCCTGTCGCGAGGGAAGGATGTCAGGAAAATAAAGCATAGCTGCAATTCACTTACGCTGCGGTAATTGATGAACTGCGGCGTTGTTCCGTCGACTATCACCGCGACAGGCTGCTTTGCAACAGCATTAAGCAGTTCTGTATCGTCACTTGACGAGTAGATCCTCTCCACGCCAGAAATGGTAACCAAAGAAGATGGCTACCAAAATAAAAGATTCAAGAGTTTAGTAAAGAAACCAAATGTATAGAACAAGAAGAAAGAACTCACGAGTGGTTTGCATTGTCCAATTGTCCCAGTGTATGGATAAAGTTTTTCAGTCGTCAAGCCATTCTCCTCAACGTAATCCAGAGCGAAAACGGGATCGAGAGTGGTGCATTTGTTTGCCTCGTCAACACAATCCAGGAGCTGCTGAGCGGAAAGGTCCTGCAGCCTATTGCCGTCGATTGCGAGCCTCCCCTCCACGGCTCCAGTTGCTGCATACGTCCAGCTAGCTCCTGAAAATGCTCAAACCCGACGTGTCAGAAAAGAGAGAAGCAAGGGATGTTTTTTCTTGCCTCTGCAGCTGCTGCCAATGTCCTTCACGCGAGCAACAACAGCTCCCTTTCGCCTCCAGTCAATGGACGCTGGTGCAGCCACGCTGGAGGCCTCCTCCTTCTTGACGGAGCCCCACTTCTTCATCAGATCTTTGACGTCAACACGAGGGAGCCGAGCTTCCATTTCTTCCTGGCTCTGGTCCGAGAACTGATTGAGACCGAGCTGGTAAGAATGCTGCTGGCTGTTGTGAGCCTGGATCTGGAACAGCTTCTCCTTGAACACTTCCCGCCTGTGCAGCCTCTCATCTTCAGTGCCATACCTCTTCCCGTGCTCTTCGCACCACGCATCAAACAATGCAGTGATGCGGTCTTCCGACTCAAGATCGGCCGGCGAGAAATCCAAATGACCACCGTGCGCTGCCGCAAGACCAAATGCCACTACCAGTGAAACGAAAAGAACAAGCGATCGGAGGCTCGCCATCTCTGCCTATCCGCTCTTCCGGGCCTACTCCAGTTAACCGTCCTTTATATCCACAATCTCACCACCACGAGGAAAACGTGTCGTCGCAGGAGGAAAACCAGTCGAAAAAAAAGCTTCATGTCCCTCTCATATCGGTGGCATCCGTAAGTGTATGTCTCCGTTCTCGCACGTCGTGTCCCCAGTCCACTCACTCTGCTCTCCCTTGTAATCCGAATCTACGTCCCCGAAAACACCACTGTGAGCTCCCCCCAGTGGCTCGTCCTCAAAGTGGTCGAAGAAGGCCCTCCCAGACCAAGGCCAATCGTCGTTCCACTGCCCTCTCATGGCTGTTGCTCGCCACTCCTGGTCAGCGATCATCTCTGGAGTGAGCCCCCAGTTCTCAAGCTCCTGCCTGCTGTGGTGCACGGCTAAACTGTACTCCCCTCCACTCCCGAGCTGCATCACCCTGATGTCGCAGTTCTGTGGATTGTTGAGCAGCTCGAATTGCTCCGTCGTCCACTTGAACCACCGCATGAGAAACACTCGCATCGTCAGCCCGTGCGAGACGATGATGAGGTTCAAGTCGGATGACTTTGAGCGGTTTAGCCTGTTCATGTCGATGTCTCGCCATAGAGATTCGAGAAAGCCTGCCGCAAAGACGAAGAACACTACGTAAGAAAGACAAAGCACACACACAAAAAAAAAAAAAAAAGCGAGGAAACGTACTTGTGACTCGATCAAACACATCAGCTGCCGATTCCCCCTCTGGAAATCGATAGAAAAATCGCCCAAATCTATCCCGAGTCTCCTTCACCACTTTCATCACCTCCATGCACTGGAAGTTCCCGAAGTCCTGCTCGCGGATCCGGGGCTCCTCCCTCACGCCCAAGATGCGCTCCTTCTCAAACGCCCGCCCGATGCCGCGCAGCGTGCAGCGCGTCCGCTTGTACGGCGACACGTAGAAATACACCTTCCAGTCGTCGCGCACGTCGCGCTCGATGATCCTGCGTACCTCTTGCCCGCACGCGATCGCCTGCTGGAATCCGCCCTCGGTGAGATGGATCTTGTAGTCCGCCACGGACGAGTACTTGGATTCGTCCACATTCCCCTCGCTCTGGCCGTGGCGCACCAGGATTATCCGCGTCGGCCGCCGCGCCCTGCTCTCCTCGGTCATCATCCCCGCGAATCGCGATCGATCGTAAACCCTAAACCTCTTCTTGCAAGAACCCTGATCGCAATGTCCGCCACCGCCGATCGCGAAACAAGCGCTGGAATGCCGCGGTGGGATTGGCGGCGACGCCGCTACTTATACGCGATTCCAGCCTCCAACCTCACATCCTTCCCACCCACATTCGCGCCGTGGTCGCCCATCGCCCACCTTTGACACGAACAAATAAGCGATCGTGATGCCACGATCTCGCTGACGTGGTCGGCCAGCCCGGAGTCGCCTGTCGCTGACGTGTATCCCCGCGTAGTGACGTGTTTGTGCTTGCTGACGTGTTTTAACAATAGCTGCCAGCGTGTCAAACTTTGGGTTTATTGAAAGAATTTCTTTGGTTTATATACACAGTTCTTTGTCCTAGCTATATAGCGAGCTCCAATTCGATCCTTCTTGTTTCAAGAGCTCCTCTCCCAGCTCACGATCCCATCGCCCTCTCGCCCAAAAAACTCCTGCATTGCTCCATTCGTGGACGCCAGCTCCATCTCCCCGGCGATCCATCCCTCCTCCCCCTGGCTCAGCGCCCTCGACAGCCTCAAGATCTCCTTCTCCGTCTCCTCCCTCGCGAATCCTCCGCCATCCTTGGAGCTAAACTTCTCAAACTCGTCGCCGCCACCACCACCACCACCGCTACTCGCTTCCAAAAACTCGGTCGTCGTCCCCAAAACTTCGCCTTGTTGTTCTTGCTCTTCTTTCTCTTCTTCTTCCTCGCCATCCTCCTCCTCCAGCTCCTCCTCCTCCTCTTCTTCCTCCTCCTCCCGTACTCCTCCAGCCACCGCCTCCACCACCTCCTCCTCGTCTGTGTACTCCGACTCCCAGTCCTCCTCCTCGGGCGGCGGCGGGAGATCGCTCTCGTCGTCGTCCGAGTCCACATTCTCTCGATCAAACCGGTTCTGGAGCGCGCGCCGCCGGAGCACAAACACATTGAAGTAGTAGCTCACCAGCTCGCGCCGCCGCCGCGATGGGAACGCGTAGCGCAGCGGCGTCCAGAAGTTCCTGCGCTGCGACGCCGGATTGAGCCTCACCACCTCCCCGAAGATCTTCTCCTCCTGCTCCGTCCACCTCCGCGACACACACTCCCCCATCTCCTCCAGCCCGAGCTTGACGTAAACCAGCGCTCCCACCTCTCTCGCCACTTTTTCCCGGCTCTCGTCTACGTGCCGCCTCGCGCACTCCACCGAGCCCCGATCTTCGCAGCCACACTCCTGGCTTCTACCCTTCCCTACGCGCTCGCTGTCGTCGCAAGAGCTCTGAATTTCTTCCGGAGAACTCGGCGGCCAGACCCTCTCGCCGATCCAGGCTTCCTCCTCCTCGTCCACCTCCTTGTGCTTGTCCGGATCCCAGTGAGGAACCTCGGCCTGGTAGTCGGGGCCGATTGGAACTCCTTTGATCCTTGGCAGGAGGCCCTCCAAGGCGGCCTGGAAGAAGCGCGAGGGAGCCGGGGAGCTGATGCTGGATTCCTGGACCGGGAAGCACAGCTCCAGGCTCGAGATCTCCTGGGACGAGCTGTTGTCCCGGGTTGGCTCCGAGGAGACGTCCGTGTAGCCTTTGAGGCATGCTTCCGTGCTCGAGTCGTCGAAGCGGACCTGGAAGAACTTGGAAGACAAAGTTTGAGACAAGAGAATCGAAGATGGAAAGAAAGATTGGAGTACCTTGTGGTGGTGATGTTGGAAGTTGTCCGATGGATCAATGTCCACTACCTCGTCCTCGGCTCCCCCGGACTCTAGAACAAACTCGTCCTCGCTCTTGCGCGTCAAAGCCTCGTCTTGGTGCTTCAAACACTTTGCGGGCGGGAAGGAAACACAGTGCTCGAGCGATCGCTTGTGTTGTCCTATCATCGCGAACGAGACTGTCGAAACAAAATAATCGATTCCATCAAACATTCCCAGGAGTACAATCAAAATTCGCTAAATTGCCTCATACAAAAATTATCAAAGAAAAACAACTTGCAAGAAAAAAAAAAGTTAAGGAAAAAAAAAATAAATTATCTAGGGTTAGGGCTCGACAGGGAAAAACCCCAAACGCACCTTTCGATCTCGAGGATTGTCACAGATCTAGTCCCCAAGAAATCCTCCAGGAACAAGATCGATCCGGAGAGAAATCAATCTAATCGAAAATTCTCGCCACGAGAAAAAAAAGCCCCAAAATTCTTCGCTACCCTAAAAACCCTAGCTGCAAGGAGCGAGCGCGATCCACAGCCTATAGCCGCGCCGTGGCCATGCCAATCCAATCCAGTCCCAACCCAAATGGATCCCCACTCCAAAACCCAAGTGACAGGGCTGGGGTGTCTAGGCGAAGCTTTTGGCTATGGCGGACGGTACCACACAAAGCCCGGGGGAGAGAGACGGGTCCCTTTGAACCACTTAAACCAGGTAGCGCCGGAATATTCCAAGCGGCGGAAGGAATATTCTGGCCCCACAAAGACACGTCACTGCCCCTTTGCTCTAAAAATCCACCAAAACTTTTTGACCTTTTAGCCGACCGCCGAGACCTTCTCCGAGAAATGGCTGAGCGCGTCCATTCCGGGAGGGATGAAGACGACGTCGCCCCAGCCGGAGCCATCGTCGCTTGACTGTCACAGACACGGGATTTTTAAGAGCTGGAAGAACTGGAAGAACAGGGAGAACTTCGCAATTGGAAGAGAAGAGCTTACCTCCAGTCGCTGCAAAACGTCCTCGAAGCTGCCGACTTGGATGTCGGTGTTCACCTTGAGCGCGGGATTGATCTTCTGCTGCTGCTTGAATGCTCCCAAGAGCGCTCTCTCCAGATCCTCCTGGTAAAGCAAAACACAGTTTTTGTCGGTCCAGCAACAGCGAAAGGAGGAGTATTTTTATACCTTGGAGAAGAATATCGGACAGAAGCGTCGGTTCTTGCTCCGGAGGACGAGGTTATCCGACTGCCATGGCAACATTTAGCGAGATTCAAAACCTCCTCTTCTCTGTTTCTCCACACACCTGAAAGACTGGCACGCCATCGAAAGCTTTCCCGGGATCGCCAGTCTTTGCTCTCGACTGCGACACGCACAAACAGAAAAGTCCAGTCCACCACTTGGGAAACAAAAGTGAGAAAAAAAAGAGGGGATTTTTCTGACCTCAAGAGCATGCTTGACTTGGAGAGGATCCGGCAAGAACCTGAAAGCGATGCCTTCCGTCTTGAGCTGGTAGACCTGATGATGATCCAGAGCCAAAGAAAGCAAAGGCAAAAGCAAAGAAGCTCTCAGTACATACAAAGTAAGAAAAGAAAGCTCGCACCTTGTCGAGAGAGACAGCTACAATCTTCGCTCCACGGCCCAGGCCAGGCTCTCTATCTCGGATCTGCCAAGCTACAAAAGTTTGAGAACGTCAACCTAGAAGAAGAAGAAGAGGAAGAAGAAGGGGAAGAGATGAATCGAGCGATGGATGGACTCATACCTGTGCTAGCAGCGCCTCGGCGTCCTCGTGGCGGAAGCAAAACAAGCCCAGAGATTTGTGGCCATTGGAGTCGGAGATGAGGACAAATTCGTTGTCGTGGTTGCTCACCGTGTAGACGGGGACGCCGTCGAGGCGCTTGGAGACCTGGTCGGGCGCCATCGCGAGGTCGTAGAGATGGCGCCCCGGCGCCTCCGCCCCAAATGCCGCTGCGCCGCGCGACAGGCACGCGAACGACGCCGCCGCGGCCACATTTCGGGGCGGCGCCGCCAAGACTTCCAGCCCCTGCCTGATCTTGCGCTCCACGGCCTGAATCACTTGGACGGGGAAGGGCGGCGCGGTGTAGCCCGCGCGAGCGAGGCGGCGCTGGAAGCGCGAGAGGAGACTGGCCAGCGGCGACTGCTCGCCTCCAGCGCTCGCCGCGGCGGCTCCCTCCACCATCTTTGTCAAGAGCCCTAAACCTCAAACAGCCAAAACATAATTAAAAGATAACGGGAAACTTTAAAGATTTGATCTTTTCAAATTCCAACCACTTGATTGATTTCACTCTTAGCTTGGAGGCTATGCTGAGAATAGATGGGCTTCCAAGATCTTCAATGAGATTATACTTGAAAAAATCTTTGGTATCCACATCCAAACTTTTGCTCAAAGACTTCTTTAGAGAGCTCTAGCTATCAGGAATCTCTGGCTCGTGATCCTGCGCTGCTGTAACCATGGAGCTGCGGCTTTCCTGCTTGGAATCTTTGGGCGTGAAGGACGAGCTCGCCGCTGCCGCTGCTGCTGCCACCGCCGCTACCGCCGCCGCCTGGTTTTCGTGCTGCCGCTGTGTCTCATCGTTCTCGCCGCTTTGCCATTGCCGGCCTCCATTCAAGGCCCGGCAGTGTGGGCAAATGTACGTCACGTACTGGAACTCTTCTTTCGGAGCTAGTCCTGCAATGCAAAAGGGAAAAGAAGAAAAGAAGTTGTAAGCTCAGCCTTTGAGGGTGTAAAGTTCTCACCGTTGTGCATATGGCAGTTCTTGCAGATGAGAGCGTAGCACTGGGAAGGATCCTCTCCAACAAGCATGGCTGCGATGCGGGCCAGCCAGCCTATTCCTCCTCCTCCTCCTCCTGCTGCTGCTGCTGCGAAGCCACCACCCATCCGACCTCTAGCCCGATCCATGGCGGCGTCGCGGTCCAGAGCCTCCGTTTCCCTCTCTCCCTTGACTTCGTCCTCAAGAGCCTTGAGAAATCCTTGAGTGTCGAGGGGCTCTTTGGTTTGAGCCTGTGATCCTTTGCGCTGCCTCAAACCGGAGCTGGTTTCGGGGCTGCGGGTTTTCCCACCGTTCGCTGAAGTAGTGGCGTTGGAACTGTCAGCGCCTTCTGACGATTTGAACGCCACATTCAAGCCCGATTCGGCTCCGAGCTTGGCCGCCAGAACGCTTGCGGCAGCCGCCTTGGCCGTGGGATCTAGATCATACCTCTGGAAACGCGCGATGCAAAGCTTACAAAAACGAAACGAAAAGAAAACTCACTTGGATAAGCTCTTGAGTAGCATAGTAATTCGTTCTCTGTTTCAGCTCGTCTATCCTCGCCTGTCTTTCAGCCCGCAGTTTCTCTAGAGTTCGCTGATCCTTACGCTCTCCTGGAAATGAAAGAAGAAAGAGAAACGTGAGGACGTACTAGCGCATTGAAAGTTCTTACTCATATGGAAGTAGCGCGAGCATGCTGTGTATAGCAGAGCTGCTATAGCAGGGACTGCGAAAACTGGGAACACTCTAATAGCTCTCAGCTTCCAAGGAATGTCAAGCGACCGGGTGGAAACCAATGCAAATCCTAGCGCTAGAACCTGTGTTCCAGAAACCAGAAAGAAAAACTTAAATCTCGATTCTAGGAAAGAAGGAAACAAAAAGGAAAGCAAGACCGCAAGGCACAAAATTTTTCCCTTACCTCGATGAGCACCGAGTAAAGAACTATAGCTCGCGCGACCCTTCTCCACGTATGCGTCCTCCTCTTCAAGCGGCTGTGCACAGTGACCTCCTCCTTGGACAGATGCCGCAGCCTCTTCTCAAAATCAATGTTCCTGCGGCCAAACAAGATCCCCACAAGGCCGCTCCAGATCCACCGCAGCGTGCCTCCTCTGCCGGCGCCAGAGCCTCCCGATCCCTGGGAGCTGCTCGACGGCACAGAATCTTTCAATCCGTCGGCTTCAGCTGGAGATTCGGCCATTCTCGCTGGATCGAGCTCTGCCGATGTGAGATCGGTAAGCACCAGCCTCTGGATCGGCTCCAGCCCCTGCATTACCCTTGCGCCACGCCGAAGCGATCGATCCACTGCCTTGCCCTAAACATCTAAAAAATAGAAAAAGAGTAAAATACCCTTTCTCATAAAAGGTGATTAGTCCGCATAAACGTGATTAGTAGCTAAGCTGAGCGTCACTTCTTCCTCGTCGTCACTCATCGCGCTGGGCTTTTCTTCCACAGCGATAGATCTTGGAGCAGCCACACCAGCGCTTCGCCACGCTAAATTTCCCGGAGATTCTACTCGTGTCGAGACATCCTCTTTCTCGGTCGTAGTCGCGCGATCCTGCAATAAAAAAAAAAACGATTTTTCCTGGTCCTATCCAGAACAGCGCTACGTGAAAGCGAGAAAGACTTACGCGGCTGAAAAGAACACCGCGGAGAACTTGGCCGTTTAGGTGAGCAGTCATAAGGTAGCCTGAATCGAACATAGCGTCCACAACTCCATGCACTTCGCTTCCAATCTGTGCGTACACAAGATAAAACAAAACAAGGATAAAAAGAGATTGAAACTCCGAGCTCAGAAATTTTTCGCTTGCCTGAATGCCGTAGCACTGAGCGTGATGATTGGTCCCCAGCTTTAGAGTTAGAGATTTATGTCTGTTGTGTGAGAAACCATGATTTGGAGCTTGCCACTTTCCTGAAACTGTGGATTCGACAACGGACCAGTCGTCGTTCTCACGGAATACTAATAAGTCGCGTGACGTCCGCTTCTTGTGCACTGTAGAACCGGACGAGAAGAATTCACAATGGAGAGAAGTACTTTGAATTGTTCTTTCCGCTGCATAGCCTTGAAGAACGCCTTTCATGAGCAGATTCTCGCTGCGCAACACACGGCGAGTCGCCTGAAAGGACAAATTGAGAAAAGAGTGAAGTTCCATTCAATTATTCAGCCTACCAAGTCGTCCTTGCGAGAGGAAACGGAAGGCCGCGAAGAAGTCTTCTGTCCAACTATCTGCATTCTCTGCTCGTTATTAAGCTTTGACCAAATCCCGGGCTTAGGCAGCTCGTCTCCGCCAATACACAGGACGAGGAACTCGTCTAGAGGTCTCTCGTCTTCGCCACATCTGCACACTCTGGTCAGAGAAAACGAAGTATGGAGACTTTTGCATCTCACCCGCCGTAAACAATTACGCCGTCATCAGCACGAGCTGCGACATGAGAGAATCGACCCTGTGGCTGCAAGCTTCGAATTTTCAGTTGAGACCAGCAACGCGTTTCAGCGTCCATGGCCCACACATCGCTGTAGTACGTCCGGTCGCCAACACCTCCAAAAACATACATCTGAAAGCTTTCAGTTGTGAGATTCTTCGCAAAGATTTCAAGGACTTTCACCTTTGTGTCGACTGCTATTGCAACGTGACCAGCTCTCACTCCCGGCTTCGTTGTTGACCCGGCATTCTCTAGCTGAAAAGGAAAAAAGAGTTTGAGCTATGAGACAAGACGTTGTAAGTAAAAAGCTTACCTTGGACCATGTCATGAGCTCCAAGTCAAGCACATCCACACCTCCCAAGTACCGATCTCCACAGTCACCTCCATATAGAAAAAGCCGATTCTTGATGACGACCGAGCTATGGCTGTCCCGACAAATTGGCGAGTAGCCTTTCCCGCACAGCGAAATCCATTTCATACTCCCGCAATCCAGGATGTGAGTGTCGCTCAGATAATCTCCGTTGTCACCACTTCCACCAAAAACCAAGGCCTGATTCTCACTAATCATAGTTGCCGTGTGACTTTCTCTTGGAGCAGGAAGAGAGCCTTGCATAGATGGCCGAGCCCAGACTAAAGACTTTAGATCAAGTACGTGAACAGCGTTAGTTTTCTTTGATCCACTTGTACCCCCAAAGACTATCATCTTTTTGTGATCGTAAAGCACGGCAGTGTGACTGTCCCGGGGACCAGGCTCTTCGCCCGTTGTGACAAGTTTCTCCCAAGACACCGTCTCCAGATCCAGCATCAAGACATCACTGAACTGGAGACCACCACGGCATCCCTGTAAACTTAGACATTAGTTCCAGTAGTAAGCGAGAGAAGAACTCCCTTACCCCGTAGATGTAGAGCTTCCCATCGCAGTAGACTCCAGAATGGCCCCATCTCTCTGGCAAGTTTTGATCCGCAAGCTTGGGATGAAACCAAGAAGCCTCGCTTCTCGTTGTTGTTGCCTCCATCGCTGCTCCTCAAAAACTATATCGCTCTTGCCCAAACCACCTGGAACCAACGCGAAAAGAGGATTTAAAGAAACTTTGAAAGTAGTACGCGTATGCTTACGTGAGGCTGAGCTCAATTCTAGACCTGAAGCTCATGTGGCCATGCCAGAAGCAGGAAAATGCCAATAACTCGGGAGAACTGAGCCAAACGGCCCTCCCGAAACAAATGTCTAGTTTATTGCCTACACGAAGCCCAACAAAAGCGAGGAGTGAATCGAGGCTATAGAAAAATGCGTTCTACACGGAGAAAGAGGGAAAAGAAGCGAGTAAAGTGTGCGATGCGCTTACCAGCGGCGCCCTGATCCATCCAGCTGCATTCACCAGTGCAGCACCAGCGCCAGCAGCGGCGCCGCTCCCAATGCCGCCATCCCTTCGCCATCGCTTCCTCGATCGGCCAGAGATCTTTAGGGCAGCCAAAATGACCTAGAAATCTGGCGCCTAATCTAAAAACTTTAAGGATTTAAAATTTCGGCGCGAGAGAGTCGTTACAAAAGCAAGAATAAATTACATGGAAAGCACTGGCTTGATCGATGATCTATCGAGCTTCTCAGTGGTTTGCTTTCGCGCGAGAGAAGAATTTTCCCAATCCCAGGACGCCGCCGCCGTGCTTCTCGGAAGAATGCGAGCACATATCCGCCGATTTGGACAGCTCCCCGTGGTTGCCATAGCTCTTGGTGGCGGCGGCGGCGGCGGCGGCCTTGCACTTGCGGTAGTATCTCGCGGGAGTCCTCACCTCTAGAGGGATCTCCTCCGGTGCCTGGGGTGCCGAGTAAGAGATCATCCCCGGCTGGTGGCGCGCGGCGAATCCAGGCGTTCCCTCGGAGCTCCAGTACGTCTCCTGCTTGTGGATGTAGTCCGAGCTCTCCATGGTGGCGCTCGGGAGCTCCGACACCCGGGAGAAGTGCCTGGCCGGAGTCGTGTGCGAGGAGCTCGGTGGCAGGCCCAGCGATTCCAGCTGCTTCCCCAGCGCGTGAATTGTCCTCTGGCATTCCGCTAGCTTCTCTCCGGCAGCGATCAGCTCTTGTTCCTGTGGCAAGCGATTATAAAAACCAAAGACTAAGAAAACCAAAGCGTTACCTTTTGTATTGTGATGCTTTCATCGTGTCTGGAAAGTTGGGAAGCATGATGTTAGAAGAATGATATACAAGTCGTGGAAAGACTAACCTTGGGATTTGCTGGAGCATTTGCAGCTTGAGAGCGACCTCCTGGTGCCTCCGCTGCTCCTCTTTCAGCTCCGCTGCCAAGCGAGCGCTCTCCTGGCGGACCTGACGTATCTCGGTATCTGCCATGTTCACCCTCGACTCCAGCTTGTTTTTCAGAGCCGTCACGGCGCCAACCTCGCTCTGAAGTATTTTTCTTTCGTCCTGCGTGGCCGCCAGCTGCTTTTGCAGAAGGCATCGCTCTTCATCTACAGTAGCAAGATGAATCTTCAGGCTCTTGACCGTGTCTGTCGAAGACTTGAGACTGATCTCTAGCTCCGCGAGCTCGGACCGCAGGTGATGGATTTCCTGCACGTAGTCGGTCGCCGACCTTCGGCTCTGCTCGGACAAGCTTGGAGACTCCAGCCTTCCCCCAGCATTGAAGCTCATTCCCACGACGAAGTCGAGTGCGCACGAAAGCTCGGCAATAAAGTCCAAGACCGGAACCTCGCCTTGCAGTAAGTTCTTGCTGACAGCGACTAGCCGTTTCACGCCGCCATCACTGCCATGCGATGACAGTTCTGGCGAGGAAAGCATTGAAGTTTCTTGCGCCATCGATTCCACCAGATGAATTATTCTGCCAACGGAGGACCTTAGCCTGGCCTTGGACTCCGCGTCGATGGTGTCCGAGAGCTTGTCTTTGCAGCTCTTGAGCCCGAACATAAGGTCCACCGTCTCCTGGATTTTCCCAAGCGAGCCATCCGTTGCACTTCGACAGTGGCAACCCTTGAGCTTCTTCTCCACCGCGGCCAGCTTGTTCCGTAACTCCGCACAGACATCGTTTGCCTGACGAACCTCTTTTTCCTTCGCTCGGAGTGCTGCTTCGAGTCTGCCAGAGTCCCGTTTCACGTTTTCTTTGTCGTTGGCTGCCAGCCGCTCCATCTCAATAAAGTCTTCCATAAGGTCAAAGTTGGTCGACTCCAATAACTTATCTGTGCCCCCCGCTGCCTCCTCGTCTGGCTTTGCCCGCTTGAGAACACGAACTTGGTCCTCCAACTGCGAGAGCTTGCTGGCCGTCTTAGCACACTGTAGCCTCGAATCCTGGAGCTCCTCGTTCTTCTTGGCGAGAATTTCTTTCAGCAACGACGTCTCTTCTTCCATGGCCCGCAACCTGTCCAAGGACATGTCGTTCTCTTTATCGTCCAAGCTGCTTTCGTCCGCTGGCTCCGAGCAATACTTTCCGGGCTTTGCGATGCCTTTTCTCCGGCTTTCGCCAGGATCCGCCTCTACACGCATTTGTGCCAGGGCCCCCGGACCAGGAAGTTTCTTTTTCAGCAGCATACGCAGCCTTTGACATTCGGCTTCCAGCCTACTCGTCTTCTTCACGTTTTCGATCTGTTGCCGGTTGGAAGCCTCCATCATCTTCTGGCTGTATTCTCTCTCCTCGTTGCGAATTTCCAGCTCCCTCTGGAGTACTTGGAGGTCATACTTTAGAGCCGTGTACTCCTTCTCGACGCTCTCGAGCCTGGCACGGGTGCTACGGGCATCCATCTCCGCCGCGACTTTGCAATCGTTCAGCTCCAAGATCGTCATTGTCCGCTCTTGGAGGGATTTCGAGACGGCGTTGGCATGAGATCCCGATTGTGACAATTGGCTCCTCAACTCCAACAATTCGCCCTCAAGCCCCGAACGCAAGCTCTCCCATTCCCTCGTTTTCCTGGCAATTGTCTCGTGCAACCTCTCTTCCTGCTCTTCCCGGACGAGGCGGAGTTGCCGGACGCACTCCTTGAGAGCATTGTCCAGATGGGCGACTCTGTCCTCCAATGCCACCTTCTTTTGCAGGGCATCTTCGAGCTGCTTCTTCAGTGTCGCGGCCTCCAACTCTGATTTCTCCCATCCTGCGAATTGTGTGAGCCTTGAAAGAAATTCGAAAGCTTCCACCAATTTATCTTACCGGTGACAGCTTCCTCGGCCACTTTCATGTGTTGCTTTGCAACGGCATCTTTCTCCGAGACTTCGCACTGGGCAGCTGCCAGCCTCTCGCTCAGCAATTTTACCACCTCATCGAGCTGCAATCCCTCGGGAATGGAAATCGCCACGGGCTCGGGCTGCACAAGCTTTGAACAATGCTGCCACAGAATCAAGAAAAAATCAGAAATTCAAGACAAGAAGAAAAAACAAAACGAATTGATCGTTCGAGAAAACTCACATTTTCGTCGTTCGATGGATCGCTTGCGTCGGGCGCCGCCGCGACCTTGTCCGACGACTTCTTCTTCCATAGCCAGCTCCGGCGTTCCATGACAAATCCCTCACCTTTCTACCAGACACAGAAAGGGCCAGATTGAGAAATAAAAATTTTTCGCATGCGAGCAGCAAAGCGACATACCAAGATTCCCGCACAGCGCGATTTCCGAGAGGAGCTGGGAGCTAGCGCAAATGCGGCCACTGCATTCTCCTACAAATCCAAGAAAGAGCTAAAAATCCAGGAAGCATCAATCGATCAGCAAATCCGGAGCGCGGTGAAGCATCCCTGAGCACGGCCCTCGAGGAAGAGAATCGCGGGAAGGCGAGGAGGCCATCGCCGCCACAGCCGGGAGCTCGCCGCCGCAGCGCTAGCCTCCTCCGCCATGGCTAAACAAGCCTAACATCAATCCCCTAAAGCTTTTCAAAACAGAGCCCTTCCTTCTCCCGCCTTAACCGCGGTGATTCGAGACAAACTAGTTCTACAGTATTAACCGCCGTTACCTGCGGTGAATTCACGTCCGTACGAATGGCCACCATTTACCATGGGCCATGTGGTCGGTTGGTGGCCCAATTTGAAGAACTGGAAGATGGGCTGGAGGGATGCAAGCAATGGAATGCAGCACAGCCAAAAGGGTTGGCCAAATGGCAGTGAAAACGATGGCCATTTTTATGGGCTCGTATCAATCTGGAAATTTTGCCTGGTTGAGGATATGATTAATATCAAAGCCTTGGATCGATTCGTTTCCAGAAATGCGCTACAGCCAGGGAGGGCCACCATGTCTTTTTGTTTTCCTTGGTACAGTGGCACATGCAAACGTGAATAAGGGCGAAAGGTACCTCAAATAAATATTAGAAACCTTGTACCACGAGGAGGAAAAGAAAAAGAAAGAACATGGAATTATGATGAAAATGCCAACCCTTCATTGCCCGCCACCTTTTGGGGGTTAGAAGGTCACTTTGGGGCTCCTTAAAGGTGGTGTGCTGGATGGAAGGAGCAAATTGTAGCAGACATGCATGTATGCGTCCAAAAAGACCAGGAACTTAAAACGGATATCCCTCTCCCTTTGTGAGCAGGGATTGAGAGAGCTCTGTGCGTTCGTCGCTGTTTAACCCCCATTTTGTCAGGATGCATTCTAGCCTGGATTTCTTCCTTTTCTTTTCATTCCAGCCGGGATTTCACGGAGAAACTAACAAGAATCCAGTGGATATGTCCACTCAATTTCAAGTACGCGCGCATGCGTAGAATTATACAAACGCTTTGATCGTGAATCGTCCCCACCAAACGAGCATGTGATCCTAGAGCGCAGGGGAATCATTCGAAATGCATTCAATCATAGAAACGTTGGTTAGCTGGATGCCAGCAAACTAATCAGTCGGCCAACGGGATTAATTTGCTAACATAATTATGGCACTTAAATCTTAACTACCACATGGAATGCATGGCAGCGGCCAGCCTGAAAGAGCGCTGTGCTCGTAAGGCTGAGCGTCTCTTTTCTTGTTACCTAGCATGTGGAAGATGGTACCCAGCTTTTTGGATGGACCACTAGTACTATTAGCCCCAAGGAGCCCTAGGTTGGCTAACTGCATTAATTGTTGTTGTGGTTTCCATTGTGCATGTGTTTGCAAGAGGAAGGGCAACAAGGAAGTTAAACTTAGAAAGATAGAATTACCAACTCCAAAACTGGGGAAAAATTGAAAGAGAATATACTGTAATTACAGGAGAATAATTAATTAATTAATATTATAAAATATTTACTATCAATATTTAAAGTTTCTCAATGTATATGTAATTTACTAAATACTAATAAGAGTGCTCAGAGGTTTAAACCCTTCTTTATATATAAGAATGTATGGATCAGACTCAGTTCTAAATAAACAGTTTATATGGTATAGGACTATAATTATTATATTATCTAGGTAGGGTAATATATGTATGTATTTACAAACCTTCCCTCTAGAAGATGAAAAAGTGATAACAATAAATCATGTAAAATATTTGGAGCTTCTGTTAGGTAATTATAAACAATAACAAGAACTGGAAAATTATAAAGTTTAAGGTAGAAGAGTTTCCTTTATAAAACTACTAATGTAGTTGTTAACAACAATAATTGAAATAAAACCTAAATCCATAGTACAAGCATTAATCAATTACAAAATCCTGATAAACCAACTGCAACTTTATATGTAGTTACCAAATGCTCAAATTAACTTTAAAGTTATCATTTTGAATTAAAACAAGGGAATTTAAGAGCTATTACAGTTCATAAAGCGTTATTATAACAAATAAAACATTTCATATCTAAATTTGCCCTTTGGCCATCTTCCAAAACTACTCATGACCATGAGGAAAACTTGCATTTGTGATTTTTTGTCAATTAACATTTAAGACCTTTATCTTTATCTAACACCATATATAAAAGGTTGGACTCACTCTATTAGTCCTTTACATCCTCCTTGTCCCTTTTTTGAAAGAATTTTTTTTTTATTAACTTCATTTAGATTTATTATATTTATTTTCATTCTGCCATCAATGTTTAGCCTCACTTCACAATTGCATTCATTTTACTTTCCTACGTCAAAGCAAAATATTCTATTTAAACTTACTATACTTGTTCTCACTCCATAATTTATACCATTTACCTTCATTCCACTATTATATTCATTTGTCCTCATTTCATTATCATGGTTGTACTCCCATTTATCCCCTTTACCCCCTCCTCCAAAGAAAAAAAAGTTTAAAATATCAAGAAAAATAAAAAGATCATGAGAAAAATTAAGAAAAAAATATTGTGAAAGAAGAAAAAGTGAAGAAAAAAGCATTAGTAAAGGAATTTTTAACAATTATCAAGGTAGAAATGGGAAAAGAAAAAGAGAAAAATGTGCTTAACGCTTGGAAAAAAAGAAACTTCCTATTAATAAATATTTCAGCCACCATAATATAATTAAAAGATTCACACCGTTTAACCTCCTTAACACACAACTCAATATTTGATATGAGAAAATTAATAAAAATATCCACACTTTCAAGACAATATATAAAATCCTTAACAATAATGGTAAAATAAAGGATTTTAATGGCATTTACCATTGGAGATATGTATTTAACTTGAAATTCTACCAAAAGTGACTTAACCCTTAGAACAAAAGAATATTGAATACCAAAACTGATCAAAAACTCCATTAATGAAACAAAAGCAAAATTTTTAACTTCACACACATACTCAGCATCTAAATTTGTATAAGGAAGATATAAAACATTTATTATGAAAATAAAAATTATATAAGTTAAAGTGCTAAAAGAAGGAAATACTAGAGATGAGAAAAAAAACACTACAAAGTGGTTTAAACTAAGAAATATAAAAAATGTTGAAAAAGAGTAAAAGGTAAAAAGAAAATAGTAAATGGCAATTTGAAAGATTGACACTTACCCCTCAAAATCTTCATTTTGTCTCTAAAGCTATCTTCATAGTAATTAAACTCTTTATCAAAATTTAAAATCCACTTAAACTTATACATATTATTTTCCCATAAACTTGATCTTTAAATATTCCTCAAGAACTAAATTGCATCATTTATATGTCTCCAATTAATGTTATAATCATACTACACATTAGTAAATGATAACAAGACATTAAGAATAAGAGAAGCTATATAATTACGTCCCATGGAAGTTTGAAATCATTAAAGATGGGTACAACACTAGTATGATTATGCCCATTGCACTAAAAGCTTGATCTAATGGAGTAGCATTAGTAGTTTTACAATGCATATAACCATGGCATAAAATTTGAATAAACTATCACCACAAATCTTGAGAACCTTAAGGGATAAATCAGAGTAAAATAGCCATTAAAAGTTTTTTTTTCTCAAGTATAGTTATTTTAAAGGGAAAGAAATAAATCACACTACATATAGTATTGGAACAAATTTGATTTCCATCAATTAGTGACTATTTAAAATATATATTGATCCAATCCCTTTTTTATAAATTTTAGTATGTCCAATTTAATCTTGGTGTTTTGGCAAGACGTTATCTTTAACAATTAATCACTAAATTGATCCAAGGTCACAACCAAAACTAAAGATGAAAACGTAAATAAAAGGATGTTAGTATTTTAAAACTTGCTATCATATATTAGAAGTTTTAAAAAACCTATTAGTTCATTTGAATTTTTCTTGGATAGGAATATACCTTACTCAAAAGTATATTATGATGATATATTTAGAATATATTATATTCATATTTTATATATATATATATATATATATATATATATATATATATATATATATATATATATATATATATATAGATTATATATAGATAGATAGATAGATATCATATATATATATAATTTTATCTTGAAAATATGTTATATATATATAAAACATATTATTTATATTATTGATAAATATATTTTATTAATAAAATTTTAATAAAACATTTCCACTATCATTATTTAACTATTTTATTTTAAAAAAATTAATTTTATAGCATTATAGTTTAGAATAAAAACCGAAAAATAAATTTACTTTGATTTGTGCCTTAATTTTTAATGAGAATATATATATATATATGACAGTAAAACTTAGTTCCATTTCAGAAAAGTTAAATATAACATAAAACAGTACATCTAATATTTCTTTGATAATTTAAGTAATTTTATTTATGGTTATAATGTTGCTAAAAATAATTGAAAAGGTAAACTTGCTAAAAAAACTGAAAATAACTAGTATTTTAAATTTAAGTTTGTAATTTCTAAACATAAATACAATTTATATTTTTGTATATTATAATTAACCCTACAGTTTCTTATAAACAAATTATTACTGATGGTTATATTTGTGATTAAACTACCGAAAATCCAAAATTTATATAAAAAATCTTGTAGTAAAAATGTTCCAATTATGTAATTTCTTAATTATTTAAACTTTTTTTAAAGTCTAATATTTATAGCAAACTAAAAACTTATATAACTAAATTTTATTTTATTACTCACTGAATTAGAAAATATTCTCCTTGTTGCATGCAGCAACACTTTTTTTACTTAATAAATGCTGTTTATTATTTATTATTCCATTTGATCCATTGAATGCTTATAATTATAAATATATTTGTATTTAAGATGAATATTATTACCATTATGATGTGTTTAATAAATTATAACTATAAGAATCATCTAAATGGCTAACAACTTTTAAATGGTAGAATATCCTCGAATATCCTCAAATATTTTAGGTATATCTATTATTACCCTTGTGAGGCCGAAGTGTATGGCTAAGATGCTGTATATTAATATTAGCATAGTGGGATTTTGGTAATTGTTGGATTGGTTTCAATCTGGACCACTCGCTCATATATATAAACTAGGGTTTTTGGGCTAATTGATATGCACATTTTTTGTATTCCCTTTTCATAT